CCAGGAGACATTACTTCCCTTCCGCGGCCTTGAACATCCCAGCTCCTCAGCCTCTTGCCTACCTCCCCTCACTAATAAGTGGCATCAGGTGGGCTGACCAGGAAGTCTTTGTAAAACTACAGCTGCATGACTACAAGAAAGCTTTATGCAGAATAATATATGAAAACACTGCAACCCCTAATCTTGCGTCTCTCCATCTGCCACAATCTCAGGACTCTGATTTGTCAGAACATCACTAAATTATGAGTTTATAGGCTGGTGAGAGTAAGGAAGAAAGATAAAACCGTGAGGAAGAAAGATAAAGATAAAACTCCAGGCCTGAAATTCCTAAGGCCTCCAGCAAAACCATGCACACAGTAAGAACTCAGTGAAGCACCATGCCACTGAGTGCTAGGAAACCAGCAAGTTGCCATCCCAACGGGGCAAACAGGCGCTCTCCACTGGCAGGTGCAGGCAGAGAAGGTGCTCAATCCAGGAGTCTGTTGTCACATCAGAAGTCTGAACTAAAAATGTGGAGCCACTTCACCTCTGAGGGAGCAGACTCAGGAGGTCTTATCTGGCCACGGCAGGCAGTCACACTTCCTCCCCAGACTCTCCACTTCAAAGGTCTGGCAAAAAGGCCCACAGGTTAGAAAATCAACTCAAAGTTTAGACTCCTAACTGTCTTGTCCCCAGGCATTTACCTTATTAAATAAATCACTCAAGAACTGTAGGGATAAATATGACACCAAAAGTATATGCAACAAACTCAAAAACAGATAAATTGAACTTCATCAAAATGTTAAAATTTTTGTGCATCAAATGACACTGCCCACCAGGTGCGGTAGTTCACACCTGTAATCCCAACACTTTGGGAGGTCAAAGAGGCAGAAGTGCTTGAGGCCAGGAGTTTGAGACCAGCCTGGGAAACACAGTGAGACCTCATCTCTACAAAAAAATTAATTTAAAAAAAAAAAAAGACACTACTAAGAGAGTGAAAAGATAATCCAGAAAATGGGAAAAAATAGCACTAATCTCATCTCTAATAATGATTTAATATCCAGAATATATGAACAATGCAATGACGACTCAATAACAAGAACAAGAACCCAATAAAAATACGGGCAAAGGGAACCTGGATACTTATTCAAAGAAAATATATATACAAATGGCAAAGAAGCATAGGAAAGGATGTTCAACATCACTCATTAGGGAAATGCAAATCAATACCACAATGGGATACCACTTTGCACCCATTAGAACAGCTATAATTAAAAACAAAAACCAAAAAAGAAGATGGCTGGACTTTGGTGGCTCACACCTGTAATCCTAGCACTTTGGGAGTCCATGGCAGGAGGATCACTTGAACCCAGGGGTTCAAGACCAGCCTGGAGCAACACAGTGAGACCCCTGACTAATTTTTTTTTTTAAGAAAATAACAAGTGTTGGGGAGGATGTGGAAAAACTGGAAGCCTTGCACACTGCTGTTGGGAATGTGAAAACCAGAGGCCTTGCACACTGCTGCTGGGAATGTGAAAACCGGAAGCCTTGCACACTGCTGCTGGGAATGTGAAAACCGGAAGCCTTGCACACTGCTGCTGGGAATGTGAAAACCTGAAGCCTTGCACACTGCTGCTGGGAATGTGAAAACCGGAAGCCTTGCACACTGCTGCTGGGAATGTGAAAACCTGAAGCCTTGCACACTGCTGCTGGGAATGTGAAAACCGGAAGCCTTGCACACTGCTGCTGGGAATGTGAAAACCGGAAGCCTTGTACACTGCTGCTGGGAATGTGAAAACCGGAAGCCTTGCACACTGCTGCTGGGAATGTGAAAACCGGAAGCCATGCACACTGCTGCTGGGTAAAGCCACTCCTGAAAACAATATGGTGTTTCCTCAAATAGCTAAACATAGAATTATCATATTATCCAGCTGTTTTCCCTACACATAGTTACATTCGTCTCCCTGCCATATAAACTCCCCAGTTTTAGTTTGACAGAAAGACAGATTTGAGACTGATCTCACTTCTCCTCACCTGACATCACTCAAATGTAATTTTTTTAAAAAGGGGGTCGGGGTGGTAGTTCACACCTGTATTCCCAGCATTTTGGGAGGCTGAGGTGCGTGGATCACCTGAGGTCAGGAGTTGGAAACCAGCCTGACCAATGTGGTGAAACCCCATCTCTACTAAAATACAAAATTTAGCAGCTGGGCACAGTGGCTTATGCCTGTAATCCCAGCACTTTGGGAGGCTGAGGTGAGCAGATCACCTGAGGTCAGGAGTTCAAGACTAGCCTGGCCAACATGGTAAAACCTCGTCTCTACTAACAATGCAAAAATTAGCTGAGCATGGTGGCATGCACCTGTAATCCCAGCTACTGAGGAGGCTGAGGCAGGAGAATCGCTTGAACCCGGGAGGTGGAGGTTGCAGTGAGCCAAGATTGTGCCACTGCACTCTAGCCTGGGCAACAAGAGCAAAACTCTGTCTCCCAAAAAAAAAAAAAAAAAAAAAAAAGTTGGGTGTGGGAGGTCGAGGCGGGTGGATCACCTGAGGTCTGGAGTTCAAGACCAGCCTGGCCAACCTGGTGAAACCCCGTCTCTACTAAAAATACAAAAAAACTAGCTGGGTGGGTGGCAGGCTCCTGTAATCCCAGCTACTCGGAGATGGAGGTTGCAGTGAGCCAAGATTGTGCCATTGCACTCCAGCCTGGGCGACATAGCAAGATGATCTCAAAAAAAAAAAAAAGAAAAGAATTACCATATGATCCAGTAATACCACTCTGACTATATACCCAAAAGAATTCAAAGCAGACACTCAAACAGGTATCTGCACACCCATGTTTATAGCAGCATTATTCACAACAGGCAAAATGTAGAAGCAACTTAACAAAACATGGTATATACAATGGAATATTAACCCTTAAAAAGGACTGAGATTCTGACACATGATACAACATGAAGTGTGTGAAGACATGCTAAGTGAAGTAAGTCAGTCGCAGAAGGACAAATACTGTATGATCTGATTATATGAGGTATCTAGAGTAGTCAAATTCAGAGACAGGCAGTAAAACAGTGATGGCCAGGGGCTGGGGAAAGGGGGAATGAAGAGCTATTGTTTAATGAGTACGGAGTTTGGGATGATGAAAACTTTCTGGAAATAGATTGTGGTGATGGTTACAGACACAGAGAATGTACTTAATGCCACTAAATTATACATTTATAATGGTTGAAATAGTAAACTGTATGTGTATTTTCCCTCAATTTTAAAACACAGAAAAAAATAACAATCAGGCCATATTTCCAGTCCACCGAGAGAATCTCTTTTTAAAGGACTGTTCTCCTGATGATCTGGCACATTCTTCCCATGGCAATGGGCTCTGTGGATGCAATTTTGTCCTTTGCATTGTGACCTCAAACCCAGCCCCAATAACCTGAGCCCTAAATCCAAGCAAACAGCTCAGATGGACTAGCCATTGTTTGAAAGGCTGAGGCCTGAGCTTCTCTGGGACAGGCAATTTAGGGGATAACTGTCTGATATGTTCAACAGGCAGCCAACAAAAGCAGAAGCCACTCTTGCCAGCTTTCACTCTCTATTACTTCCCTTTTCACTTTCATAAAGGACACCAGACTGCCATGCGGTAAGGAAAACAGGGGTCAGGCTGCCCAGCCTATTTTAAGTTGGAAAGTGGGAAGTGCCCCCCCCATCTCCGACAGGTCTATAAATTTAAAATTCTTTGTATTTCATACACTGAAGGACACAGTTTTCACCCATCTAACAACAGAACCAACAACTTCAGTCCTCTGTGGTCTCTAGAGCCCTTTCACACAGATTATCCCATTAGATCTCACAATAACACAGTGAAAATGAATGTGTAGGGACTGTCATTCCCACTGGAGACATGAAGAAACCCAGACTCAGGGAGATGAAGCAACGTGTCCCAAGTCCAAGTAAAAAAAGCAATCTACAGTTTGCACACAAGTAAATGATCTTCAGAATTCTTCTTCCTCTCCATTACACTGGAAAGATGAACAGTGTAGAAAAGGAACTTTGCATTTGGTGTTAAACCAGAACAAGGAAAAATGCTTCCAAAGGCCCTCCTCTTCCCCACCCCTGCTTTTTTTTTTTTTTTTTTAAGACCAAGTCTCACCCTGTCACCTAGGCTGGAGTGCACTGGCACGATCTTGGCTCAGTGTAACCTCTGCCTCTGGTTCGAGACATTCTCCTTCCTCAACCTCTCGAGTAACTGGGATTACAGGTGCCTGCCACCACACCTGGCTAATTTTTGTATCTGGAATAGGCACGGGGTTTCACCATGTTGACCAGGCTGGTCTGGAACTCCTGACCTCAAATGATCCACTCGCCTCGGCCTCCTAAAGTGCTGGGATTGCAGGCGTGAGCCACCTCGCCCGGCCCTCGTTCCCAATTTCTAAGGCCCACCGTACTTAGAAATAGACCTTTAAGTTTTGTTTTGTTTTTGAGACGGAGTCTTGCTCTGTCGCCCAGGCTGAAGTGAAGTGGTGCGATCTCAACTCACTACACCTCTGCCTCCCGAGCTGAAGCGATTCTCCTGCCATATCCTCCCCAGAAGCTGGGATTACAGGCGTGCACCACCACACCCAGCTAATTTTTGTATTTTTAATAGAGGCGGGGTTTAGCCATGTTGCCCAGGCTGGTCTGGAACTACTAACCTCAAGTGATCCGCCAGCCTAGGCTTCCCAAAGTACTGGGATTACAGGCATGAGCCACGCGCCCGGCCTCTTTTCGATTTTTGCACGCAACAATTCCTGCTGTGTACCCACTGCTGTCACTTGCTGTCCTGTCCAAGGCGTGCTGCCGGATAGAGGAGACTGTCAGACTCAGAATCGAACGTGGGGGTTAAAGGCCGACTTGGCCATAAACTGAACAAATCACGCCTAACCGAACAAGCCTGTAAATGTACAAGCGTCCCTGGACACCTACAGAGCAACACCCGGGAAGCAGGAGTCAGTGGACTGCGGGTGGCTGACCACTGCCTTACCCACCCCAGCGCATGCGCGACTCCTGCACCAGCGCCAGAGGAGTCCCACGCCAAGCAGCCCCTGACTTCGTGGGCGGGCGCCGTCTTCTCGCGCATGCGTAAGCGCCTGCGCATGCGCGCCTTCGGCAGCTGACTTTCCAGCTCTATTAGCCCCTGTTCTTTTCAAACCCGACCCGGACCCCGAACGCTGGCCGCCTCAACTACGACCTTCACTCCGCATTTCTCACCTTGCGCCCGGTTTTCTCCCGTAGGGCCTTCAGCCGTTCCTTTCGCCGCAGTGCCTCTTCCTCTAGCCGGCCCACACCGGCCACAGTGGGCTCCATCTTGCCTGCCGACGCCCCTCCTTTTCTCCCGTCTTGCAACGCGCATGCCTAAATAGAGTGGATAAATGTCTCGCGGCCAATCCAAGGACGAGAGTGAAATAATGAGAGGTCCTGAAAGCCAATCAATGCTGGGTTCTTATGGGAGGACCCACCCCTCCCCGCCCCTTCCCGCCCTTATCCTTCCGGGCAACTTGCCTAGTGGGTAGGGAGCCAGCAAAAAAAAAAAAAAAGTGCTAAGGCTCGATTTATCCAACACTGATCAGTGAAAGAGCGGCAGGTGGAATCAGACCTGAGAGAAGGAGAAAAGAATGCGTCGATCGCTCCGGTTTTGCCTATGCACCAACCACAGCTCACTCCATGCTGGCCTCTTGGAATGCCCTGACCCATCATCCATCCTTGTCCACTTGACCTGATTCTTCAAGGCTCGAATGCCTTCAAGAAGCCTTCCCTGGCCGGGCACAGTGACTCACGCCTGTAATCCAAGCACTTTGGAGGCCAAGGCGGGTGGATCACCTGAGGTTGGGGGTTCAGGACCAGCCTAACCAACATGGTGAAACCCCGTCTTTAAAAAAAAAAAAGAAGCCTTCCCTGACCCTCCACTCTGATCCCACCCTAATATGAGGTATGCCTCACACCTCTACAGCTGTCCGCGGCTCCCCAGACTCCCCTGACAAATGCCCCTAAAGCCCCTCTGTGACCACCCTCAGCTCAGACAAAGCCTGTATAGTGAGGGACCTGGTTGGATGGCTGTTTCCCACTGGACTCGGATATGATCCCCTCTCACTCCCATCCCCTCCTGGAGCAGCGAAGTCCTCAGGATCAAGTTACCTTCCCCAGCAAAGAGCAAACCCCAACCTGGGTCCAGTGGGCCTCAAGGACTGACCCCATCCCCCAGCTTAGAAAGAATTGGTTTGGCCTCGATTGCAAGTCACCACAAGATTCATGGCTCTCTGGCAGAAGCTGCCAGAGTCTTCTTTCCTGCATTAACCAGAGTGTCCTGATAACAGAGGGACTACTTAGGCTGAATTCAAGATATTCTTTCAGTATGTGAGAGCCCCCAAGGCCACACCTCCCTCACTTGGGAATAGAAGACCATGCTTCCACCTGTCCCCCTCCACTGCCAGGGCATAACTAACTTCTGAGTAAGGCTGTTCCCTACCTGAGCTTCCCAGGTTGGCTGCAGGTGGGCATCCACTCTTCCCCTTGCAACTCTCTTCAGAGGCTCATAGGCAACAGGCCACAGGTCCAGCCCTCCCTTCACTGACCCTCTTGTCCTCACTAACCTGGGTCTGTCTAAGCCTTCTTCCCTGTAATGGATGGGTTGCTCTGCCAAGGCCTGGCATGCAGGTTGGAGGTGCTCAGGAAACCTCAGCTCAGAGCTATGATTGGACAGAGCAGGAGAAAAGGCCAGACTGAAGCTGTGGCCCAAGAAACTAGGAGAGCAAAATGGGACAGGGTCTGTGTTCTCTTGACCACCCAAGGTCTAGGAGTCTCCAGACTTCAACTCCTGGAACCGGTAGCATCTCTCTGGGCCCAGCAAACGTCTCCCCAGTCCCAACAAAGGGCCTGATCCCTGCCCAACACCAGGGGGTCCCTCACCTCATAATCCGGACATAGGGAAAGGGGCACGGGGTGATGGTGGCAGGGACCCAACAAAGAGTCAGTCAAGCCTGGGTCCCTGTCCCTGCTGCCCTTGGCTGCCCATGTGGTCCTCATTTGGCCAAAGCCTCAGTTTCTCCATCTGTAAAACAGAACCATGAGGCACCCATCTCCTGAGGTTAAAGAAAGAAAATATGTGAAGCAAGTTCTGGGCTCTGGAGTTGCGGGGTGGGAAAGCCCCTCCATTGGAGTGTTTGGGAAGGCTTCCGGGAGGAGGGAGGAGGACCCATGGGAACAGTCTAAGCTTCTCTGGGATCTGGGAGGGCACCACTGCCCTGAAGGTATTTCAGGCTAGTCCTGCTGCTCTCTGACTTTGCGCCGTCACACTCAACAAACAGCTAGAGCTCAAAAGTTACATTTCAGTCTTCCCATAAAGCGACAGAGGAGCACCTGATACTTGATAAGCGCCACAGGGGTTGCATGGTGGTGGTTGTCATTATTACTTGTTAAAGGACCTTCGCCACTCACACGCGACCCGCCGACTTTTCCCTGAATGGCAGCAACTCCAGTCAGGTGGGCTGCGTCCTAGGGGATGCAGACCCTGGGAAAGTCTGGAGTTTCTCACCCCGACCCTCGTCCCGGAGGCTCAGGCTGTACCTGCCAATGGGACTGGTAGGGCGGGGCGGCGGGGTACCCTCGTGGACTACCCTGCCCACAGGCCCCTCCTCCTGCCAGACTCGCCGCCCTTTGCACGGTCCCGGGAGAGGCGGGGCGGCGGTGACTGAAGCGAAGTGCAGGAAGCCAGGCGGCGGCAGCCAGTGAGGAGGAGGAGGAGCGAGCAGACTTGGGTGGGTCAGCGCCGCGGAGGCCAGAGCCGCAGACTTCCCCAGTAGTACCGCGCCGCTCCGCCCCCGGAGTGACGCCCTCCGCCCATGGGCCTGGCCGAAGGCAGCCGGCGGGCGGCGCGGAGGAGGCGGCGACAGGTGGCGCGCAGCAGGGCCGGAGCCGGGCCCGGCCATGGCCGCCTCAGAGCGGCTCTACGAGTTGTGGCTGCTCTACTACGCGCAGGTGAGCCCGCCCCGCCCCGTGCCCGCACCCGCGGTGCCCCCAGCTTCGCGCGCCCTGCGCCTGCTGCACCTGTGCCCCGCGCCGGTGGGGCGGTGTAGACGCGCGCGCGCAGGGAATGCTCCGGCTCCGCACCCACGTGTGTGCCCCCACAGCCCGCCGGGTGCCTCAGGCACTTATGCCTTGGGTACAGAGCTCGCGGTCGTGCACTTCACAGCAACCCCCGCAGCGGGACCGTGAACCCTGAGTCTTTCTTGCTGGAGGAGAGTGGCCTGGGCCGAGGCGGCCGGACACTTCGCCTTTTTACAAATGAGGAAACTGAGGCCTGGAGAGACTTGGAGACTGGACAGGAGGCTAGGGGGAGGGGGTCTCAATTTGCATGTCGGCTGCCTCTCTCGTGGGTGCGGCCCGATTGGGTGGTCGTAGCCAATGGCTCTGGGAGTGCGGGCCGATGTAGGGGGGTTTGTGGGCTGACTAGGGAGGGTGTGTGGAAGGGGAATGCTCCCACCGAAGGTTCTTCCTGAGTTGCAGTCCTCCCCTCCTACCCCTATGAACAGGCTTTGGTAAGCTCCTCCCTGACTTGAGACGACCCCACCCCACCCCCATTCTGGGAGGTGGACCCAGGACCTCTCTAGGAGCAGAAGAAAAGGTTTTGCTCTGAATGCCCAGGGTGAGGGTGGGGCGTTGAGGCCCTGGAGAATGTCTGAAAAGGATGGAGGAAGGCCCTTTCATCCTGAGCTCCCCACCCATCTCAGAGAACACTTCAGGTGTCCCGTCGGCTGAGAACCTGGTGTCACTCACACCGTCTCTCACACATAGTCCCCCATTTTCCTTCTGCACCCACAGTAGGGAGGGATCCCAGGTAACACCTCCCTCCCCTTCGCCCAGCACCTTCCTCCCTGCACCAACCTGGCATGATGCTCCTGGCTCAGGTGTGCTCTGGGCACAATGGACCATTGTGTGCCCTGAACAGTTTGTCACTGGGGGGAATTCATGCTCAGATGCGCTGGCCCTCAGTGAAGAGGCCGGCCCACTGTCTCCCGGAGACCTGGAGTCCAGGCCAGAAGGACCACAGCCTCTTTAGTCTGCTCAGGTTGTGAGAGGTTGAGGCCCGTGGCAGGAGTCCAGGCATGGAGTAGAGTCCTTCTTTGGTATAACCCAGACCAAACTGGACTTCTCAGCCTCTGCTTCCCGCCTGTAAAACTGACATAGCCCTGGCTGGCTGTGGTGGCTCACGCTTGTAATCTCAGAACTTTGGGAGGCCAAGGCAGGTGGATCATGAGGTCAGGAGATCTAGACCATCCTAGCCAACTTGGTGAAACCCCATTTCTACTAAAAAAATATATAAAAATTAGCTGGGTATGGTGGCACGTGCCTGTAATCCCAGCTACTTGGGAGGCTGAGGCAGGAGAATTGCTTAAACCAGGGAGTTAGAGGTTGCAGTGAGCCGAGATTGCTCCACTGCACTCCAGCCTGGTGACAGAGCAAGACTCCATCTCAAAAAAAAAAAAAATGGACACAGTCCTGACCTCAGGGGTTTCCTGGACTCTGTGAAGAGGTAGCCATTATAGCTGGTCCAGACCAGAGAAGGCTCCTGTTTCCCTGGCCCCATTAGGGTCCCTCGCCCCAGCCTCTCTGCCTCCATCTCTAGTGGCTATGAAGGAGCAGAGGTTGTGAAGAGAAGCCTGCCCCTAGTCCTTCTTCCTCTGACTGCCCCACAGCTATGGGCAGGTTCTAGGTGTGTGAGCAGGTAAAGGGGGCTTAAACCAGGTGATGAGTGTGAGGGATGTTAATGATAGGTCTTCAGGCTGGGTGGCAGGCTGCTGAGGGTGTCTTGGTACCTCCCAGGACTGTAACTCCAGCACGGTTGCCTCCTGATGTCCCATCTTACTGAGCTCGGCACATGGCCACACACACACACACACACACCGCCTCCCCCCCCTCCCCCGCCGCCACCACCGTCCTCTCAGGTGGTATTTATGGCTTATATCTGTGCCAAGCCTCCCCCTCCCAGAGCTCTTCACCTCACAGGGTACATATAGAGCATAGGGTGGCAGGTTGTAGCTTTGGAAGCCTGAGCAGGCAGGGGGCAGCCTGGGGCCAGGCAAACAAATCCAGGATGTAAGAGCAAACCCAGGAGCCAGGCGGGGCCAGGCTGCCTGGGAAGAGGAAGCTAGCACCAGCCTCCCAGCTGGCCTTCCTGCCTGCCAGCTCCTGCTCCCTGAACCCCCAACCCAGGGAAGAGTAGTGCTTGCAACTTTAAATCCTGTTAGGGACCTATTATGTGTGTACTTGGGGAGGGGGAGTGTAAGGTAAGGGGCGGAGCTGAAAGAGGGTGTTTAGAGACCCTTGAGTTGGCTAGCAACCCAGGCAGCAACACCTGCACCCCTCCCTTCAGCTGTGAGAGCTGACATCAGCTGGCAAACCTGTTTCCCCAGTTGTGGGTCTGGGTGGGGATGGAGAGGGGGGAGTAACCCCTTCCTGCCCTTTCTCTTCCTTAAAGACCCCAGGTTTAGACCCACCCACCTCCTCCCCCTGTGGGCCCAGCTCACCTGGGGGCCTCATAGTGAGGGAGGGGGCTGTAGGTGGCTGCTGAGGGAAAGGGGAAGGGGCAGAGCACCCCAGGACCTCACTCGATTTGAGCTCCTTAGGGCCCTGGTGGGGAAACCAAGGCAGGGTCCTACCACAGTTGTCACACCTCACATGCAGTAGGTGCTCCTTGGATGTTAGCTGAATGACTGGATAGAGGAGGTGGGTCCCATGGCAGTGACCAGTCAGGAAGTCACCCCAGAGAAGGCTGAGTTTGGGCTTTGAGGGCTGAGAGGAAGGAACAGCAGGAGCAGTGGGACAAGAAGCAAGTTGTCAGGAGTGGGGGCAGGGCAGAGCTAGAAAAGCAGGCCTGGTGGACAGGTGGGGACTCATCCCGAGGACTCATGATCTGAGCCCACCAGAGTTCCCCCAGGGAAGGCATAGGAAGGGCAGGAGAGTATTGGGGGACTGGGGACAGCATCTGATGGGCTGACAGTTGGACAGTTAATGCCATATAGCATGCAGATGAGTGGCCTCTGTTCAGACTGGAGCAGCAGTGATGTTTAGCAACCCCCAGTGAATGGGGTCACAGAGTGAGGGGGCACTGAATGTGAAAGGGCACTCAGGGTCACAAAGGTCAGGGCAGAACAAACCCTCAGGTGACAGAAGGGAGCAAGACCTCAACTATCCAGCTATGCCACTGAGGCCTCACAGGGGTCCAGGGAGGTTAGGTCAGGCTGGAGGCAACCTCATCTTGCCTACACTTCCAGTACCCTCTCCCCAACTGATGATCTCTACTGCCTGTTAGAAGCCTGGCCAGGCCTTGACCAGTCACAGTGGCTCACACCTGTAATCCCAGCACTTTTGGGAGGCAGAGGTGAGGAGATCACGAGGGCAGGAGATCAAGACCATCCTGGCCAACATGATGAAACCCCGTCTCAACTAAAAATACAAAAAATTAGCCGGATGTGGTGGCGTGCACCTGTAGTCCCAGCTACTGGGGAAGCTGAGGCAGGAGAATCACTTGAACCCAGGAAGCAGAGGTTGCAATGACCCAAGATCACGTCACTGTACTCCAGCTTGGGCAACAGGGACCTTATCTGGTCATATTCCTTCCTGGGCCTCAGTTTACCTGACGGAAACGGGTAAAGGGAAGGTAGAATCACTTCCTTGGTGCTGTTACCCAGGCACCTGAAGGAGGAGGGCCCACAGTGATGGGGAGATGAGCACACAGCCCAGGATTGGGGTAGGCACTGGTAATTCCTGGAGCTGTTATGACAGCTGGAGAGCTGATAGGGAAGTGTGGGGTCCCCGTAGAAACAAGGCCAATTACTATGGGGCCTACGGGGACCCTGGAAGGAAATTCCATTTTCCATAGTGATAGTACAAGGGGATGGTTGGCTTTTGAGCCGCTTGCTCCAGCCGCTCCCATTCTGTGGAGTGTGCTTTCATTTCAATAAATTGATGCTTTCCTTGCTTTAAAAAAAAAAAGTGCAAAGGGCTGATCAGGCCCCAGGGCAGGGCGGGTGACATGGAGATCAGAAGGTTTGCCCTTTCAGCAACCCCTCTCCAGATAAGGGGGAGAGACTGGCCTAGCCACCCAGGCACTCAGACCACTATCCTCAGATGTCCCTGCCCCAGCAAAGTCTCCCTGCTTCATCCCATGGCCTAAGGTCCTCCAAGCCTGATGTCCAATCCTGGTGATGTAGCCAGAAGTCACTTTATCTTGACATTATCTTCCCCATCCTGATACTGGATCGGGGACCCCCCCCCCCAGGCCTGAGATAGGCTATTCCGCATAGACCCCACCCTGTCCGCTTCTGCTTGTCTGTCCCTGAAGATGGAATGCTCACTACCACCCAGGCAGCTCTAACTGAGAGGAGTCACCCACTCTCGTGCTGTGCTCTTCTCTCCCTTCCTGCTCCTAGCTCTTCCCTAGGGTCCATTAACACCTCTTACTGTCACTCACAGAGGGGGCTGGGGGTTGTTGCCTGAAAAGGCAGGCCAGAGCCCCTGGATCTGGAGCTCCACTCACCTTACCCTGATCTCTAGTTGGGGAGGTGTGGCTGGAGAACTGTTACCCATGAAGCAAAGTGATGGTTTTAAAGAAGTTTATGTTAAGTAACAAGCTGAACCCATGCCTTCACCACTGATTCGGTTGATGAGAGGCACCAGAAACGGGTCTACAAAGGGCATTAATGCCCCTGATGGGGACATTCCAGCAGAGCAAACGAGAGCTAAGCCGGTTAGGGTAGAGAAGGTAATGCCCTTGGGCCTGGGCATCCAGTGGGTTTGGTGTGTAAAGGCTGGAGGTGACGTGGGCACCACCCACGCAGGGCCTCAGATGTTGGGGAAGACTGGATTTGCTCCAAAGATGTGAGCTTGTGACAGAGCATGTGACTAGCTGATCACGTGCTCCAGGTCCTCCTGGTGCAGCTGCTCCGCGGGATGGTCCAGGAGGACCTGGCCGTGATGGTGAAGGATGCCTACTCGAGGCCCACCGTGCGCTGGACTTGGGGTATGTCAGGCAGGGTCTGGAGCAGCATGGTGTCAGGCAGCTCAATGATCCCAATCACCTTGGCAGACAGCCCTCTGTACATTGGTTGTACCAGTGTTAACAACCACCAGCCCTCAGCTCTCTGGGTTACTTCCGAATTCCAGAGGAATAGCAGTTTCATGCCCACCCAGGGACCGTTTGAGCCTAAGCAGCCCTTGGGAGCCACTCATCCCCAGCACTCTCAAATGCCCTCACAGCTAGTTGGCCATAAGATGGGGTCACTGTGGAGGTGACCATGAGACCCCCTCTTCTCAGGGACACTGGCCTCCCTCATTCCCACAACCTGCTCCCTGCCGCAGGACCTGAGCATCACCTATGCCCTGGAAAGGACTTGGCAGGTGTGGCTGCTCCCAACCTACCCTTAGTTGGGGGTGGGATTGGGGTCTTGACCCAATTAGGTTGGGCAAAGGCCTGGACTGTCCCTGACCCGTGTTCCTGCTCAGAGCTGGCAAGGGAGAAAGGACCCATGACTGACCAAGGCAGAGTCTCCGAGAGGGGCATGGGAAGCCTGAGCGTCATCGCCACCTTTCCCAGGCCCTGGATCCTCGCATGCAGTGCTGCCACCATGCTCTCGTTCCCTGCCATTCTCTGCCTTCTGACCCTGGCTCCCTGAGGGACTCCCATGCCCCCACACACTGTAGTCTCAAGCCACAGTCAGAGCTGGCCTGAGGCCTTCCAGAGAGAAAAGGTGAGACCCAGGGAGGCAGAACAGGCAGCTACCCCACCCCTACCTAACACCGTGCTTTGGAGACCTCCTAATCCCCTCTCAGAGCCCATGAAGGCTGTCTTGATTGCCCCAGCCCTGAACCCAGCTCAGCTCAACCTGCTGAAAGTTTACAGGACTGGACAGGCCAAGGGTGTGGTTCTAGGGACAGAAAGCAGGAGTGTATAGAGAGTGAGGGACCCATCCCTGTCCTGGGAGGGCTGATCAAGGTGATGGCCATCAGGAGGCTATCATGTGGCCAAAAGCCCAACTCACACGAGGCAGTGGGGCATAGGGTGTGCAGAGGCCTGGACAGGAGGATGTGAACCACAGAGAGGGAGAGGCGGAAGCCGGAGAAGCAGGTCCTGGTTGGACCAGCAGCCTGGAATGCCAGGCTCAGCAGTTGAGCCTTTATGGGGAGGGGGTTAGACACGGTCAAATTTGGGCTTTCAGGTGGTCAGTAGGGGTGCAGCTGGCAAGAAGACTCACATTCTTGACTGGGGGCAGAAGAGGGGAAGACAGCATTAGGACATTTTTGAAAGCAGCCAGGGGTCTGTGGGGCCGCTGAGGCAGGGGTCAGGGGTCACATGGTCAGCATGGGCTGGCTGGCTGGCTAGCGATCATGAGTGACCCTGGCCTAGAACTAAGGTCTGGCTTTCAGCATCCTCAAAGATACACTGAAAACAACGTAGTAGATAAGGCATCCCCTGTGGGGCATGCTGTTTCCCCATCTGTAATGGGAGAGGGTCAGAGGAAATGGTCCAGGACCCCTGGCCACCTCTGCTGTCTCAGGATCTGGATATTTGGGGCTCCCTGCTGCTTGGTCAGGAGGAGGCTGACCAGCAGGAGAGGTCAGTGAATATAACTGACAGGCAAAATGTGACGGCTTTGTGGGTCTGCACCTTGGTGGCCCTGGCACCTCTCTGAGTTGCCTGGGCTTCAGATCTGCACTTCAGTGCCCCAGGGCTGCTCTGCCGAGGTTTTTTTTGTGGGTCTGGCTTGGGTCTGCTGTGGTCAGGCCCCTTACCCTGGGGCCATTCAAGCCTGGCCTACAGGCTGCAAAAATTAGCCATCCATCCAAAGACAATGCTGGAGGTCCTTGGGTGTGAGGTCCATGGCCCCTGGGGAGCAGCCTCAGGCCTGCTGAGTGCTGACCATGGTGTGTCCTTTGCCTCTTCATCCTTCTCCACTCTAGCTCCCCCTGTCCACCTCTCTGACTCTAGGAAAGAAGGCTGCCTTCTGGACTGGTTGGGAGCTCCACATGGGGCCAGCCTGGTGGAGCTCCTGTATAAGCCACAACCCACCCTTATCCCCTCAGAGGGGCTTAGAGGTTAGAGCAGCTTCAGGCTAGGCTAGGATTTATCAGCTGTGTTCCTGAGCAAAGAGAACTACAGAATCCAGGTGAGGTAGCCAGGACATGGCAGGGGAGGGGGTGGGACAAAGGTATGGTTGAGTCTTCCACAACAACCCCTGTGGCCTGAGGCCTTGGGCGTAGGTCAGGGAGCTGGGGGTGCCTTGAGTGAAGGGTACTGCAGCAGCAGGATCAGAACCTGGATAAGAGATCTTCCAGGTCCAGACCTCGTGCTTGTAAAACTAGTCTCTGGTCCACAAGCCCCACCCAGGACAGGTGACCCCACCCCTCTATACCAGGCCCGGCTGTCAGCGGAGGCCAGGTCGCTTGCAGCCTCTCTCACTGGGGCCCAGGGGGCCCCAGCCCCCCCACATCCCTGCGGTCTGCAGGGAGGAAGTGGCCCCCCTCCCCCACCGTGACTCTGCGCTTCCTGCCCCAGCCTAGGCGGTGGAGACGTTTCCCGTTCACACCAAAGTTTTCCTGGCGGCGCCTAGACCTGGGCTTAGCCACTGCCCCTCTTGCCCATGGAACCAGCTCTGGGGCCTGGGGTCCAGGTAACCAGCAAGGGTGGGTTCCTGGGGCAAGGTAGGGCCTGCGCATGAGGATGTGCACATGTCTGGGTCTGCCTGTCTAATGGTACACATGTGTCCTGGGATCCACAGCTAAGGAAGGAGGAAGATGGCAGATGAGAACCCAGCCCAAGGCTCTGGGTAGAGGGTGGCTGCTGTGTGGGACACCTTCTCTAGCCTTAGCACCAACCCTTGCAGTCCTACACAGGTCTGACACAGCCAGGGGAGGGCCACAGCCACATCTCACTCGCTCCCCTCCCCTGGCTGTGTCAGACATGCCTAGGGCTGCAAGTATTAGGGAGGTGGGAGCAGAGAGTGGAGGCTGAGAGAAGCAGTGGGGCGCCTGGAAGAGTGGTCAGTATGTACCTAACTCTCTGATGCTGACCTTCCAGTGTCCTGCCCTCCCCCCTCCCTCACCCATCCCCCACTTCCCTCCTCCGCACCCACTGTCTGCCTTTAACCCCTTGTCCATGCCCTGCGTCCACCTCCATGCATTCTCCACCTCTGTCTGCATCATCCCCTGTTTACTGCACTGTTTACTGCACCCCTTCTGCCCCCCAACCATTCCCCTTCTCTGCCTACAGAAGGACCTGGGTTACCTGCAGCAGTGGCTGAAGGCCTTCGTAGGTACCTTCAAGAAGAGCATCGCACTGTCCTCTCTGGAGCCAAGAAGGTGAGGCTGGATCTGCACAGAGGGTGTGCAGGGACCGTGCAGGGAGAATGAGGGGTCCTGAGCACTGGTGTCTCCCTGCTCCTTGCAGGCCGGAGGAGGCAGGTGCAGAGGTCCCGCTGCTGCCCCTGGATGCGCTGCATGTGCTGGCCGAGCAGCTGCACCCAGAGGACCTGGAGCAAGCCCTGCTGCTGCTCAAGCTCTTCGTCATTCTCTGCAGGTGTCCCGGCTGTCCCCTCTATGAGCAGGGGCCTAGAACTGTGGGCTGGGGCGGGGAGTATGGTGTATTATTGCTCTCTCATCCTTGATTCCCCCAGAAACCTGGAGAACATAGAGGCAGACCGGGGCCAGTTGCTAGCACCGCGGGTGCTGGCACTGTTGACCAAGTTGGTGGCAGAGGTGAAGTGGCCTCCACCTGGGGTGGGCAGGGGGTGGATGTGGGGAGGCAGTTAGCCATGGCAGGGTTAACCCTCTCTCCCCATACCTACAGCTGAAAGGATGCCCGCCACCCCAGGGCCGAGGGGCCCAGCTGGAGAACGTGGCCCTACATGCTCTGCTTCTCTGTGAGGGCCTCTTTGACCCTTACCAGACCTGGCGGCGCCAGCGCAGTGGGTGAGACCCAGCCCACAGGCAGGCAACCCAGAGGAGACAGGGGAGAGGATGGCCGTGCTGGGCCCAAGAAGGGGTGACATCCTGGCTGATGTACTTGGCCTCACCCATACCCCTCCTCCCCCTCCCCAGGGAAGTCATCAGCTCCAAGGAGAAGAGCAAATACAAGTTCCCTCCTGCTGCTTTGCCCCAGGAATTCAGAGCCTTCTTCCAAGGTCAAGCCCTACCCCTGTCCCCCTTGGCCCCACCTGGCCCTGCCCCCAAACCTAGGCCCCTTCCTGCAGTTCCTTGATCCTGGCATACACAGAAACCATTTGGTGGTGGCTGCACGAAAGCCTGGGAGAGCCAAAGATGGAACCAGGGTTTAGGGACAGAGAGAAGAGAAAGGACATCTTGGGCTGGAGCGAGGTCCTCCCATCAGGTGCAGGGGTGGAGTCAACCTGCCCACCCAGATTTCTCTACCTCTTTCCCTCCCATCTCCTGGATCCTTCTAGCCACTTGTACCCTCCTCTGATCTGGACCACCTTAAAACTCTCTAGTCCAATCCCTTTGCCCCCATAACCCCCACCCAGTCTCTACCCATCCTAGAGACACAAGAGGTGTCTCCACCTGCTGCTCCCTGGCTGCTGGAGAATCTGATGCCCAGGACAGCTATGGCGACCTGTTCACAGGTGGTCCTGTGAACCTGTTCTCCCTAGTGACCCTCCTCCCCTGTCCCCTCTCTCCTCTGATTGGAGGCAGACTGGCCAGGACTTTAGATGGGCTCAAGGTGGGAGATGGCCTGGAAGAAGGTGGGCAGGGCTGTGAGAAGGTGGTGGCCTATTGGGATATTAAGTGTTTGAGTGATACCATGGAGCTGTGGGCCTGGGTCTAGAGAGGGGGCAGCAGCTCCGGGTGGGAAGGCACCCCTGGGGAGCTCCCCGACTTTATTTTCCCATAGCATGGATGCTCTTATTAAAACAAACTGGATTTTATTCCTCTCATCATATCCCTTGATGTCAACCTGACACCGTCAAGATGAAATCCTACTTCTTCCACAGCCTTTCCACTTGCCCTGCTGCCCAGCCTGGCTTCTGTCCTCTCATTCCCAGACTGCTACCAGTACCCCGCCTCAGGGTCTTAGCCCATGCTGTGCCTTCTCCCCTCCAACTGCATTTTCAGACCTCCCATCAAAAGCCCATTCCCCAAGGAGGCCTCCCACCACCCATCCAACCAGAATCAAGCCCCAGACCTGCTCCTCTCCCTCCCCCACACATGTGACCCAGAGCTGGTCCTTTCTGCCCTCTGGGTTTGAGTCCGTGGCCTGGCATCCTGTCCAGCTTTGCTGGTACAGGGCCAGGTGGGCCTCCTATGTATTAGGCTGTGAAAGCCCCTAGAAGTCCCCAGTAAAGGCATGGGCCAGGGGGAGGTGGCATCAGTATAGTAGATACAGCAGAGTCCCCAGAGCATGGCCTGGGAAGTGCCAACTGTCACAGGGGCAGAGGGAGCAAGAGATTTGCATCTGAGAAACTAAGCCCTGGTCGCCACAGGGAAGTAGAGGGAGGATGTGCTCCTGCTGGGGCCTCACTTTGGGGCTTAAGGATCTAGGGAGCTGGCTAGACTCTCAGGGCTGGGCTGTGTTCCCCTTTGGTCCCCCAAAGAAGGGTTGTGTCCCTTTCAGACCCTCTACTACACAGCCATGACTTCTTAGACATTCCAGCTCAGAGCCAGCTCTTCTACCTCAGACTGAGTCTTTTATGTGGCCCCGCTCCCTCTCCCCTCCATGCCAGAGCACCCACCTCTTGTGCAGCCCCCTGGGCCTATAGCCCTGCAGTCTTGGTGACATTGCCCTGCCCTGCCCACACCCCCTACCCAGAGAGCCTACAGAATGCAGACCGTTTGCCTCCCGTATTGCTGCTGCGCCTCATCCACCTCTTCTGCGCCGTCCTCGCAGGAGGAAAGGTAGGCTGGGAGGTGAGCCTGTGGGCCAGAGAGCGGCTCCTTCTGTATCTCTCTGCTGGGTGAGCTGCTTGCCCACTGCCCATCTCTGCCCACACCTGCAGGAGAACGGACAGATGGCTGTGAGTGACGGCTCTGTGCAGGGCCTGCTGAGTGTGGTGCGGGGCTGGGGCCGTGGGCCAGCCCAGGATCCCCACCTAGTGTCGCTGGCGCTGGAGGCACTGGTGGGTGCAGTCCATGTCCTGCATGCCAGCCGTGCCCCTCCCCGCGGCCCTGAGCTTCGTGCCCTGCTTGAGAGCTACTTCCATGTCCTTAATGCTGACTGGCCAGCTGGTGTGAGCTCAGGCCGGGAAGAGGCCCTTGTCACCCTCCGGGTCAGCATGCTCGGTGGGTATGGGCTCCCAGGCACTCGGGGATGGGGTACCATGAAGGGAAAGCCCAATGATGATGGAAAGGCCAGACTGGGCGCATAGGAAGGAAGGCTTTAGGCTGCCTGGAGGGGTCTGGGCAGCACCTGACCCTTGACCCTTCACAGACGCCATCCCCACGATGCTGGCATGTGAAGACCGGCCAGTGCTGCAAGCCACCTTCCTCAGCAACAATTGCTTTGAACATCTCACTCGCCTCATCCAGAACAGCAAGGTGGGTGGGGCCCAGCCTGGGGGTGAGGGTCTGGAACCCAGAGGCTAGGGGAGCCACACATGGGTGCCAGGCTGCTGCTGAGCAAAGATGGACTGAACAGGGCCGGTTGTTGCAGCTGGTAGGATGGCCTGTAGTTCAGTGGGAGGGTCTGGGGCCTGGACAAGGGCCTGTCCCTTGGGGCCTCTAGAGGATTGGGCTTGAGGCTTAGCGCAGCTCCGTGCCCCACGGAAGCAGGGGCTTGTTATGGAAGGGAGGGAGCTGCTCTGGCACCTTGTTTTCCTCTCCCTGGCCCCAAGTATAGGGGCTAGATGAGGGTGCCGCTGCTTTCAGATGCCGTGCCTCCTCCCCACCCACTCATCCCCCTGACTGCCCATCTGAGCAGGGCACAGGGGGGCTCAGCACCCTCTCTTCCCTAGTGCCGGGCAGGGCACCTGGCAGCTGCCCCTGGTCCTGCTCTAACCCCTCCCTCTCTCATCTTCCTCCTCTCTCTTCTTTGCCTCCTCTACCCCATGCCTCCCCACAGCTATACCTGCAGGCCCGGGCGCCCCCTGAGGGGGACAGTGACCTGGCTACCCGGTTACTGACTGAGCCCGATGTCCAGAAGGTACCACCCTGGGGCTGAACAGCTCAGATACCCCCTGGGACTCCCTCTTTGAGCTTTTCCTGCACTATAGCTGGGGGAATGAGCAGATGTATGTAAGGCCTGGTGTGGCCTAGCAATGGGTGTGGGTCCTCCATGCTGTCTCACCTACCTTCCAAGTCCCCATCCTAGGAAACAGGACAGAAGTGGTCTATCCCTTCCTGGTGTTTGATTGGGTGTTGGGGTCTGGCTGCGCCAAGCTGGAAGGAACCTTCGAAACTCAACTACCCATGTTATTTCTCAGAAGGAGAGACAGAAGCCCAGACACTCAAGGATTTGGCTGTAGCCACTCACAGAGATGGGGGTCTCCCTGATGGGGCCACTTCTTTCCATAGATTCTTGCACCCATGCTCAGCAGGTCAGGTGTCTCCCAGCCCCTGACAATGCTCTCACCGGCTCACCTTGCCTGTGGGCTGTAGGAGGCTATAGGGTGTCAGTTGTCAGCTTCATAGTGGGCACCCTTTCTGGAGGCTCAACCCGTGAGTCCCAACCTCCAGAGCCCCTACCCTGCCTCTGTCTTCACAAGATAACCCTATATGTTCACTGCATCTGGTCATTTTCTGAGCACTTGCACATCTGTTCTTCTGCAAAGCAGGGAGAGCAAAGTGATTCCTCTCTGTTTTCACAGATGAGGACACTGAGGCCTAGAGGGGGAAGACCAATGCCTGAGATCACTCAGGGAGTCAGGCAGAGCCAGGACCAAAGTCCCCATGGAGCCAAACATGGCCTAGTCCCTGCTGACAAACTCTCCAAGCCCTCCCAACCCCTGACCCCCTCAGGATGGGGCAGGGGAGAGAGCAGTATGCCTCTGGCTGTCAGGTTCAGCCAGGCTGAGCCTCAGTGTCCCCACCTGGATCTAGGGGAAGAAGCAAGGTGAGACTTAAAGGTCTCGAAGGTTCTTCTGGTTCTAACATCCTGTGATTGATTGTCCCTAAATCCTTGACCCCTGTCAATCACTGTGGGTGATGGGGCACTTGCTGGCATGTCTGTCCTCATGTGTCTAGCTCTAGGGGGACAGGTCGGGGCTGGGGCCCTAACTCCACCAGAGAAAGGGGGACTGGAGGGGACAGTGAGAATGTCCACCATTGATCTGTCCCAGTGAGGCCTTTCCCAGCCTTGGCTTCTTTCCAGGCCTCTGTCAGAGTGGGTCTTGCTGAGCTGCTCAGAGAGGGCCCCTGGTCATGATAGGGTTACAGCAGTTGGGGCAAGGAGTAGAAGGCCTGGTGCCCTGACAGAGTTGCTGATCCAGCACATGCCACGTGCCTTGGGGTACCTGGCTCTGCACCTTTTTTTACCCTGGCCCCTGCCTCTCCTGACGGACCCTCCCCACCCTAAGGTCCTGGACCAAGACACAGACGCCATTGCAGTCCATGTAGTCAGAGTGCTGACCTGCATCATGAGTGGCTCCCCCTCGGCCAAGGTGAGGCTACTGCACTGCAGCTTTAGTAGAAGTGTGGGGCAGAGTTCCAGTGACCATGTCCCCAGAGCAGGCCTGGCCGGTCGTTATAAGAATCCTGCTCCCTGGAGCAAAGCAAGTGACCTGGGAGGTGACTGTCCTGCCCTAGGCTAACTGGGAGCTGCATATCCTCTATCAGGCTGGGCTGGATGGGAATGGACACTTGTAGGCCCATTGCTATCTACAGCATTCTGAGACCAACTCATGTCCCCCTATCCTTCTGTAGCCCACCCCCTGCCAGCACTGTGACCCAGAGGCAGAGCCACACAAGGGGACCCCAAAACATTATGCCCCTCCAGGGTTTCCGAGGGTCTGAGTTTGCCCTGGAGCCCATGTGTATGCTCACTTCTTCCCCATACTACCTTACCCAGGAGGTGTTTAAGGAACGCATCGGCTACCCTCACCTGCAGGAAGTTCTGCAGAGTCATGGTCCCCCCACCCATCGGCTGTTGCAAGAGCTGCTCAACATGGTGAGGGAAGGGGCTTGGGACCAGGGTTCCAAAGGCAACCAGAACTGAGTCAGGGTTACCACAGGTGGGGAGCTCTCCATCTTGGGGACCGTGTTGACTGCGGCCAGTACGTAGTGTGGCCTGGCCATGTACATCAGTGTCCCTGGGGTCCTGGAAGCAACTGCATGTTAGCCATCCCCAGTATTGTTTTTTTGAGACAGAGTTTCGCTGTTGTTACCCAGACTGGAGTTCAATGGCACGATCTCGGCTCACTGCAACCTCCACCTTCTGGGTTCAAGCGATTCTCCTGCCTCAGCCTCCCGAGTAGCTGGGAATACAGGCGCGCACCACCATGCCCAGCTAATTTTTGTATTTTTAGTAGAGACAGGGTTTCACCTTGTTGACCAGGATGGTTTCGATCTCTTGACCTCCTGATCCACCTGCCTCGGCCTCCCAAAGTGCTGGGATTATAGGCGTGAGCCACTGCGCCCGGCCAGGCCAGCCCCAGTATTATCTTAGGAACATGCGTTAGGGGTTAGGCCAACGCAGGCTGAAAACTAAGGTTGAGGACAGTGCCTCAGGACTATGAGTAGCGGTGGTGGTGGTCATCCGTTCCCCTCTGACTTTCCTGAGCCTCACACGCAACCTGTGGGCAGGATGGGGTAGACCATGTTGCTGACCACTGCTGTTGGCAAGTAAATGGAGCCAGAAAGTCCCACTGTTGGCAGGGTGGGGTCAGTTGACAACTGACCAGGGACTGTCACTCTCTCCACCCACAGGCAGTGGAGGGTGACCACAGCATGTGCCCACCTCCACCAATCTGCAACGAGCAGCCGGTACTGGTACTGGTGCAGTGGCTGCCGTCATTGCCCACCGCTGAGCTGCGGCTCTTCCTAGCACAACGCCTCAGGTGGCTCTGTGACAGCTGCCCTGCCAGCCGTGCCACCTGTGTGCAGGCAGGCCTGGTGGGGTGCCTGTTGGAGACACTAAGCACAGGGCTAGCCCTGGGGGCCCGCTGCCAAGAGCAGCTGCTGGCACTGCTACAAGCACTGGGCCGTGTGTCACTAAGGCCCATGGAGCTGCGTCACCTGCTGCGCCCCCCACCAGGATTGGACTCGGAACCAGGCGGAGCTGAGGCTGGAAAGGCCCGGCACGCAGGTGCTGTCATCCGCGCATTATCGGGCATGGCCAGGCACCAGGGTCCTGCACGCGCTCTGCGCTACTTTGATCTCAAGCCCAGCATGGCGGGCATCATGGTACCCCCTGTGCAGCGATGGCCAGGGCCTGGCTTCACGTTTCATGCCTGGCTCTGTCTGCACCCTATGGATGCAGCACCTACCCCTGCCCCAACCCGACCACTCCAGCGAAAGCAGCTGTACAGGTGGGTGACTGCCAGGGGCCAGGGACCTCCTGCCGGGGTGAGCAGGAACAAGCAGACATAACTGGCTCGTCTGCCCCCAGCTTCTTCACCAGCAGCGGCTCAGGGTTTGAGGCCTTCTTCACGGCAGCTGGGACCCTGGTGGTGGCTGTGTGCACACGGAAGGAGTACTTGACCATGAGTCTGCCCGAAGTGTCCTTTGCCGACTCTGCCTGGGTAAGACCCTATCCCTTCCATGTGGCCCAGTTAGAGAGAGGGCTGCTGAGTCCCAGGTATGGCCTAATGTGAGGCTTCTGTTCTAGCACTGCGTGGCTATCATCCATGTGCCTGGGCGCCGGCCCTTCAGCCAGAACCTGGTCCATGTCTACAAAGATGGCCGTCTGGTCAAGACGGCACCCCTTCGCTGCCCCTCCCTCAGTGAGGTATGCCAAGCAAGGTTTGGGGAGGCCTTGGGGAGGTGGGGAGACTTGGAACACAGTGGGCCGTGTGTGGCTGGAACCCTTGTGTCCCATGCTCCCCCACAGGCCTCAGACTTTAGCCACTGGGGTCCGTGCAGCCATGGGGGTCACTGTGAGGAACTGGATGTAGGTGGAGCCCCAGGTTCTGCTGTGAACTGACCGCTCTCCCAATCCCGGCCCCACAGCCTTTCTCCTCCTGCTGTATCGGCTCTGCTGGGCACCGCACAACAACCACCACCACAGGGCTGCCCACACCACCAGTCCCTGCCACCCTGGCCTACAGTCACCCCGCCCTCACCCGCTCCCAGTCAGTCCCAGCCTCCACGGGGCTTGGCTGGGGGTCCGGGCTGGTGGCCCCCCTGCAGGAGGGCAGCATCAACTCTACCCTCGCAGGCACCCAGGACACTCGGTGGGGCAGCCCCACCTCCCTGGAGGGTGAGCTGGGGGCTGTGGCCATCTTCCATGAAGCCCTGCAGGCAGCAGCTGTGCGGACCCTATGCACCCTGGGTATGCAGCACCCTCCACTTTTGCTCCAGGCCAGAAGCTAGGGGTCCAGTGGGGAGAAGGCATCTCTGGGGGTCTGTCCTCTGGTCAGGCAGGCTCTGGACAAGGTCTGAAGCGCTCTGCCTACCCCACAGGGCCCAATGAGATGGCACCCTTCAAGCCTGAGGGGGAGCTACATGAGCTCAGCACCAAGCTGCTCCTCCATTACTCGCCTCAGGTATTTGGGGGCCCTAGGAGAGCAACTGGCTCGACTGTGCTACTTCCCCAGCTCCCACACTCTGCCTGCCACCCGCTCCTCCCTCAGGCCCTGGCCGCCTGCCCATTCCCTTATCCCTAGGCTTGTAAGAACAACATCTGCCTGGACCTGTCCCCCAGCCATGGGCTCGATGGCCGCCTGACGGGCCACAGAGTGGAGACCTGGGCTGTGAAGGTCTGTGAGCATGTGTGGGTGCTGTGTGCAGGAGGCGTGAGCATGGGGCACATGTGTTTGGAGCCAGCTGGGGCTGCTGCGCTGTGTCTGGGGAGGGTTTGGACAGTCCAGCTCGAGAGAGCAAAACTTCCCTTCTGGGTGGTCTGCTGGGGTGGAGTAGGGCAAGAAACCGGCTGGAAGGCCCCCCTCACTGCCATCCCCCTTCCCCCAGGATGTGGTGAACTGTGTAGGGGGTATGGGTTCCCTGCTGCCCCTGCTGGAGCGAGTGGCTGCACAGCCCCAAGAGGCTGAGGCAGGTCCAGCTGAAACTCATGACCTTGTGGGTCCTGAACTAACCTCTGGCCACAACACCCAGGGCCTGCTTCTCCCACTGGGTAAATCTTCAGGTAAGTGTCCCTGGTGCCCATGTTGTGGGGAGAGAATCTTGGCATGGTGGGGGTTGGAGTGCCCAAGGTCTCCCTGCCACTGGCAAGCCCTTGATGCACATCTGTCCCCTTCCTGGTGGCTGGCAGAGGAACGGATGGAGAGGAACGCAGTGGCTGCCTTTCTGCTGATGCTGCGGAACTTCCTTCAGGGCCATGTGGTGAACCAGGAGAGCCTGGTGCAGTGCCAGGGGGCTGCCATCATTGGGGCCCTCCTGCGAAAGGTGGGGCCTGGTGGGGCAGGCATGGGGGATTAGGGGTATGGTCAGCCTGTCTGACAGAGGGGACTGAGTCGGGGAACCTGCTGCCCTTTCAGTCTGGGAAAGCCTCCTGGGAGAGGTGATGCTTGAGTTGGGGCCTTGAAAGGCCGAGCAGGGTTGGGCCTGGAGGATCTGGGGAAAGGGCCAGCACAGTCTGGGGTGGGGACCTGCACAGCAGGCAGGGAGCTTGCATGTCAGAGATGGCAGGAAGCCCTAAAGAGTTCTGAGCAGGTGGGTAGCCATATTTGTGGCTGTTATGGCTGTGTGGGGAAGGGTGGCAGCTGAGAAGCTCAGGCAGCAGGCAGGCAGAGCCTGAGCCCTCACTCCAGCTCTTGTCCCACCCCAGGTCCCCAGCTGGGCCATGGACATGAATGTGCTCATGTCTGCCCAGCTGCTGATGGAGCAGGTGGCTGCAGAGGGCAGTGGGCCCCTCCTGTACCTGCTTTACCAGCATCTGCTCTTCAACTTTCACCTCTGGACCCTCAGCGACTTTGCTGTGCGCCTCGGTAGGTGTGAGGACCTGAGTGAGGGCCGGCCACAGGGCTGCTGAGCACTGAGAAGTTAGAACTGAGGGCTCTGAGGGACTCACCTGATAGGAATCCAGAATGCCGTGGTGTGGTGAGGGGACTGTGACTCTGCCCTGGAAGTCTGACAAGTGCATGGCCCTGGCCTGGAGGATCTGAAAGCCCCCGCTCATGCCCGCTTAGGCCACATCCAGTACATGTCCAGCATAGTTCGGGAGCACAGACAGAAGCTGCGGAAGAAGTACGGCGTCCAGTTTATCTTAGATGCTCTGCGCACCCACTATAGGTGAGCTCAATGGGACCAGATGGGCCATGGGAGGCTGACACAGTGGCCACTGGCCTTGGGGACTGGGCAGTGCACTCCTCTGACTCACCTACCCACTCTCTCCCTGCCTTTCTCGGCGACCTGGCTGGTTGTGCCTGCTGACCTGCCAGCCTGCAGCGGGAGCGCCCCCTGGCTGCTGACGACCTGCGCACTGTGCAGACCTCCCTCCTGGGACTGGCGAGGGAGTTCCTGGTGCGGAGCCTCTCAGCCGATGACATGCAGGTCATGCAGATCCTGCTGAGCTTTTTGGTGGCCACGGGCGATGATGGCCAGGTAGGCTGGAGGTTGGGGAGGGTGAGGCTTGGGTGGGGGGGGTGTGGGCCGGGTCGGGTCCTGTTGCAGTATGAGACCCTGAGACCCTGCATCTCCAGGTGGTGGGTGCACTGGACTTGCTGCTGGCCCTGCTGCAGGGCTCCCTGGCACAGGAGTCCTTGGCTATCTTTCTGTTGGAGCCAGGGAACCTCGAAGTGCTGCTGGCCCTGCTGGTGAGGCCAGGGTCACTGCCCCTGCTGCCCGACCGAGTCTGCAAGGTACACCCAGCCCACTGGCATCCCATTCACTGGGGCCCCTGCCTGGGGTCTAGGGAGGCACAGCAGGCCTTGGGCCAGCAGATGAAGCTGCCTTCAAGGGCCTCTTGAGCTGTACACCAGCACAGTGACTTCCCCTCCTACAGTAACTCCTTCCCCATGATGATAGTCCCCCTATGACCCCACACAGATCCTGCACAGACTGCAGCAGAACGAGAGGCTACCTGAGCGGAGCCGCCAGCGCCTTCGGCTGCGGGAGTGTGGTCTCCAGGGTCTAGTTGCCTGCTTGTCCGAGGGGACTGTTTCCCCCCAGCTCTGCCAGGGCCTCTACAAGCTGTTCCTGGGGGCAGGTACAACCTGGTTAGGGCCAAGTGGAGGGGGTGACATGTCAGAAAAGCAGGGCAGGCAGGCAGGAAGAAGGAAAGTAGTGGCATAGGGGCCAGGGTCCTGCCCTTCCTGGTGGAGTCAGTCCCTCAGGTACCCCCCCAACCCATCCTCCCAGATTGCCTGAACCTCTCAGATCTGCTGGCTGTGGTACAGCTGTCCCTCCAAGCTGACCTCGGCGTTCGCCTATACATCTGTCGCCAGGTGAGCACGAGAGGTAAAAGCTCTCGAGGTGGGGGAGGGTGGCTTCTACCCTCTGGCCTTCTCCTTGCCTGTCTTGCAAGGGTCTCTGGATGAGGGCCTGGGGCAGGCAGTTGGATGCATCTTCCCTTGCTGTGCTCCGGCCTGCAGCTCTTCCACCTCATCTACGGACAGCCAGATGCAGTGCGGCTTCTGGCGCAACAGGCTGGCTGGCAAGATGTGCTGACCCGGCTGTATGTCCTGGAGGCTGCCACGGCTGGCAGTCCCGCTCCTGCTTCCCCAGAGCCACCCACCTCCCCTGAGCCAGCCCCACCCAAGCTGCCCACTGAGTTACCTGCTGAGCCTTCTGATGTCTTCCTGCCCTCGGAGGCCCCCTGCCCTGACCCTGACGGCTTTTACCATGCTCTCTCCCCATTCTGCATGCCCTTTGACCTGGGCCTGGAACGGGCTAGTGTAGGCTCAGGCAACACTACTGGTGGCGGCAGCAGTGGGACTCTTACTCCAGCCAGCCAGCCGGGCACTCCTTCCCCACTGGATGGGCCACGGCCCTTTCCTGCTGCCCCTGGCCGCCACAGCTCTAGCCTCTCCAATGTGCTGGAGGACGGCAGCCTCCCAGAGCCCATCATTAGCGGGGATGATAGCTCCAACACCAGCAACCCACAGGTGAGGTGGGCCCACCCTCTGCCACCGCATGGCACCCAAGGGTGAACACTTTTGCTACACAGGGCTGGCACTGTAGCCTCTCCAAAGGTGTGGCTCTGTCTGACCAAGGTTGCAGCTGCGAGTCGGGCCTGTTGCTGTCCCCTCATAGCTCTCATCTGCAGTTGTGTTCCCAGAGGGCTCCTGGAACAGGGCGAGTCATGATGAGCCACAGTGGGTGACACAAGCCAGGCTTAAGAAGGGCCTTCAAGAGAGCCAGTAGGGCAGAGACCTTATAGGGTCTAAGGGCAGCAAACTCTAATGGCCCTGCCTGGGCTTCTTTTGGGGATGGGCCTCTACTCATTCTATGTGAACTGCCTCATCTCCACTTGTGAGTCTGGCAAGACTCCAGGATTCTGCCTGGAATTCGGGCAGTAGCTGAGACCCCCTGGAATTCGGGCAGTAGCTGAGACCCCCTGGAATTCGGGCAGTAGCTGAGACCCCCTGGAATTCGGGCAGTAGCTGAGACCCCCTGGAATTCGGGCAGTAGCTGAGACCCCCTGGAATTCGGGCAGTAGCTGAGACCCCCTGGAATTCGGGCAGTAGCTGAGACCCCTTGGAATTCGGGCAGTAGCTGAGACCCCTACACTGATCTTCCAGGCCCTCAGTGCCAGGCTGGCTTTTAGCCAAATGTGCTGCCTCCTGGGTGGCCACCCCAGGACGGGTGCTGAGTGGGGATGGGTGGGCATCAGCCTGATTCGCTCCCTTTGCAGCCCACAAGCCACACCCACACCACTCACCTGTGCCCACAGCAAACCTCTGAGGAAGAGTTGTGCAACCTGCTCACCAATGTGCTGTTCTCAGTGACGTGGCGAGGCGTGGAAGGCAGCGATGAGGCTGCCTGGCGGGAGCGTGGCCAGGTTTTCTCGGTGCTCACCCAGCTGGGGGCCTCAGCCACACTTGTGCGCCCACCAGACTGCATCAAGCGCAGGTGAGAGGGCAAGTCTGGAGGGGGAGGGGCTTCAGGGAGCCCTGGGGGAAGGAAGGAAGACCATCAGGTAGACTCCTGAGTTCCTCACTTACCCGCCAGCCTCCTGGAGATGATGCTGGAGTCAGCCCTGACCGACATCAAGGAGGCCCCTGTCGGGGTCCTGGCCAGCCTCACCCAGCAGGCGCTTTGGCTGCTGCGTCTGCTGCAGGACTTTCTGTGTGCTGAAGGCCATGGTAACCAGGAGCTGTGGAGTGAGAAGGTGTGACCTCTCAGGCGTGAGCCCCATGAACACTCATGTTCACGCAAGCCAGCAGGCATCTGGTCTGGGAGGTGGGTGGGTACATGTGTACAGCTGCGGGTGCAGGAGCATGAATGCACATGACTTTCCTGTGTGCACAAACCCTACCTGGCTCCCAGCTCAAACTTTACTTTGCTCCCTTTCCATGGACTCCTGGCCTCCCCTGGTGATGTCTGTTGGGAACCTGTCATCTGTGGCAGCTCTTTGAAGGTGTATGCAGCCTGCTTGATCGCCTGGAAGCCTGGCCCCACCTGGCCAATGGCACAGCTGATCTCCGTGAGATGGCACAGATTGGCCTGCGGCTTGTACTTGGCTACATCCTGCTGGAAGACCCACAGGTGAGCACAGGGTGAGCATGGGGGCAGGGGTGGGAGCTCCAAGAGTGGCTGGGCACCGCTCATCCCCCTTGCACCCACAGCTGCATGCCCAGGCCTATGTGAAATTGCACATGCTGCTACAGACTGTAGTGCCAGCCCGCCGCGAGGAGGCCTGCTACGTTCTTTCCAAGCTGGAGGCTGCGCTGGGGCGGGCACTGAACACCTCTTCCTCTGAGTCAGCCACTGATGAGGCAGGGCCCCCACCTGCAGCTGCAGCAGCTACAGAGCGCTGCTCCTGGCTGGTACCGCTGGTGCGCACACTGCTAGACCGTGCGTATGAGCCGCTGGGGCTGCAGTGGGGACTGCCCTCCCTGCCACCCACCAACGGCAGCCCCACCTTCTTTGAAGACTTCCAGGCTTTTTGTGCCACACCCGAATGGCGCCACTTCATCGATAAACAGGTGCCTGGAGGTGGGGGCCCAGGAAGAGGAGTGAGGGCTGGGGCCCACATCGAGCACTGTTCTCCTCTCCCTGCCCAATCCTCCAGGTACAGCCAACCATGTCCCAGTTCGAAATGGATACGTATGCTAAGAGCCACGACCTTATGTCCGGCTTCTGGAATGCCTGCTATGACATGCTCATGAGCAGTGGGCAGCGGCGCCAGAGGGAGCGTGCCCAGAGTCGTCGGGCCTTCCAGGTGTGCGACCTGGCATGGGGGATGGGAAGCTGCTTCACACATGCGTCCAGAGGACGGCTGACAGGTGGAGAAACGGAGGTAGGACAGGCAGCAGCCAGAGGACTGACCTATTCTCCCTGCCCCAGGAGCTGGTGCTGGAATCTGCGCAGAGGCGGGCACGTCTGGAGGGGCTGCGCTACTCCGCAGCGCTGAAGCAGCGGGCAGCGCAGCACTCCACAGCCCTGCTGCACTGGAGGGCTTTGTGGCGCCAGCTCTCCAGCCCCTGCGGGGCCTGGGCGTTGAGGTGGGCCAGGCTTGGGGCGGGGTCGCTGTGGAGGGGTGGGGCTTGGGAGGGAGGGAACCGGAGGGAGCCACCTGGAGCCCCAGACTGCCTTTGGGGTGGGGCCAGGGAGGGATGGGGTGTCTACAGCCTTCTACCCACCCATGACCTGGGGGACATTCTACAGAGACCCTCCCACCCCCCACTGGAAACTGTCCAGCGCTGAGACATATTCACGCATGCGTCTGAAGCTGGTGCCAAACCATCATTTCGACCCTCACCTGGAAGCCAGCGCCCTCCGCGACAACCTGGGTGAGGGAGTGTGCTGAGCTTAGTTTGCCCAACTCAATTCTCCCATCTCCCATCCTGCATTGCTCCGGCTGAGTACCCTTGACCCTTGCAGGTGAGGTCCCCCTGACACCCACCGAAGAGGCCTCGCTGCCTCTGGCAGTGACCAAAGAGGCCAAAGTGAGCACCCCACCCGAAGAGCTGCAGGAGGACCAGCTTGGTGAGGAGGAGCTGGCTGCACTGGAGACCCCGTGAGTGGGACCCTGGAGAGACTGGACTGGAGTGGAGGGCAAGAGGTCTGCTCCAGCGTGTACATGCCTCTGTGATGGACTTCTTGAGTGTGTCCTCTTCTGCCTGACTACATTCCCCCGGAGGGACTGTCCAAAGCCAGATGGGGGCGGGAGAGTCTCCTAACGGGGCTGAGAGTTGCTCTTTTAACAGCCAGGCACCGGAGGACAGCACTGAGAAACACAAACCAGACCGGGAAGGGGACCCAGGGAGTGGGCAGGGGCTGGGTGAGGGGAGGAGGGGACGAGGGTTGGCATCCTGGCAAAATATTCAGAAGCCTCGTGGGTGGCAGGTGAGGGACAGGGGCTGGCACCAGTAGGTTTCGGACACTAGGCAGCCCCTCCCATCTCGGGGAGTTACAAGAGTATATACTTCATGACTCAATGGCACTTGGATGCCCTTTGGGCTTGTGAAGAAGGGGGTTCCAGAGCCTAGAGCCTGAGATGGATGCTGGTCTTTAGGATGGAGGCAGCAGAACTGGATGAGCAGCGTGAGAAGCTGGTGCTGTCAGCTGAGTGCCAGCTGGTGACAGTTGTGTCGGTGGTCCCAGGGCTGCTGGAGATCACCACACAGAATGTGTACTTCTACGATGGCAGCCATGAGCGTGTGGAGACTGAGGAGGGTGCGTCTGCTGCTGGTGTGGGTTGGGAGAATGGCAGGGGGCTGGGTGTGGTGGCTCAAGCCTGTAATCCCAGCACTTTGGGAGGCCGAGGCAGGTGGATCACAAGGTCAAGAGATCAAGACCAACCTGGTCAACATGGTGAAACCCCATCTCTACTAAAAATACAAAAAAATTAGCTGGGCATGGTGGTGCGTGCCTGTAATCCCAGCTGCTCAGGAGGCTGAGGCAGGAGAATTGCCTGAACCCAGGAGGCAGAGGTTGCAGTGAGCCGAGATCGTGCCATTGCACTCCAGCCTGAGTAACAAGAGCGAAACTCTGTCTCCAAAAAAAAAAAAAAAAAAGAGAATGGCAGGGAATGGCTGGGGTGAGTGACTCCTGTACCTGCTGCTGTTCCTCCCCATAGGCATTGGCTATGATTTCCGGCGCCCACTGGCCCAGTTGCGTGAGGTCCACCTGCGGCGTTTCAACTTGCGCCGTTCAGCACTTGAGCTCTTCTTTATCGATCAGGCCAACTACTTCCTCAACTTCCCATGCAAGGTGGGCACAACCCCAGCCTCATCTCCGAGCCAGGCATCCAGGCCCCAGCCCGGCCCCATCCCACCCCACACCCAGGTACGGAACCAGGTGTACTCGTGGCTCCTGCACCTGCGGCCCCACTCTCAAGGCTACCTAAGCAGCCGCTCCCCCCAGGAGATGCTGCGTGCCTCAGGCCTTACCCAGGTGAGAGCTCTGAGCGTGAGAGAAGCGAAGTCGGGACCCTGAGTTGGGGGACAGTGATGGACAGCCCAGATGGCTCACATCTTGTCTGCCCCTGTCCCCAGAAATGGGTACAGCGTGAGATATCCAACTTCGAGTACTTGATGCAACTCAACACCATTGCGGGACGGACCTACAATGACCTGTCTCAGTACCCTGTGGTGAGGGCCCCACTCTGTACCCCTGTCCCTCTGACCTGTCAGTCCTTGGTTCCCCCAAGTGTAAGTACCTGCCAGTGGGCCAAGCCCTAAGCTTGGTCCTAGGTAGGTGTGCCAATGAAGACCTGGCCTCTGTTCCCTGTCAACCCCCAGAGGTCCCCAGCCTCACTCCCTTCCCCTCCCCTCCTGGCCTCCGTTCCAGGAAGTCTGTCCTGCTCCTCTGTGACCCCTCTAAGTGGTGCTCTCCCAACCTGTGGGCGGGCTCTGTGCCCGCCTTCTTGAGGGTGAAGGCAGGGCAGGGTGGGCTGGTAGGCCATCAGGGCTCTCATGCAGCCCCTGCCCGGGTGGGCGGCCAGTTCCCCTGGGTCCTACAGGACTACGTGTCCCCAACCCTGGACCTCAGCAACCCAGCCGTCTTCCGGGACCTGTCTAAGCCCATCGGTGTGGTGAACCCCAAGCATGCCCAGCTCGTGAGGGAGAAGTGAGAATGTGGGCAGGGCTGGGCTCAGCGGGTAGGGAAAGACGAGGCAAGGGCTTCTGCTGACACACCCAACTGTGGCTCCAGGTATGAAAGCTTTGAGGACCCTGCGGGCACCATTGACAAGTTCCACTATGGCACCCACTACTCCAATGCAGCAGGCGTGATGCACTACCTCATCCGTGTGGAGCCCTTCACCTCCCTGCATGTCCAGCTGCAGAGTGGCCGGTGCGGCCCAGGGCCTGGTGGGCAGACCGGGGGCAGACGAGGGGAGGAGGCTAGTCCTCCCCGCATCCTGGGCCTACACCTGGCTCTCTTCTTCTTTGTAACCACAGTGTCTCCCTCCCTGTCCCCATTGTCCCCACCTCACCTTGGCCCCATGCCCCTCCCCCAGCTTTGACTGCTCTGACCGGCAGTTCCACTCGGTGGCGGCAGCCTGGCAGGCACGCTTGGAGAGCCCTGCTGATGTAAAGGAGCTCATCCCAGAGTTCTTCTACTTTCCTGACTTCTTGGAGAACCAGAACGGTAGGTGTGAGGCACTGGCACTGGGGTGGGCAGGTGTGGGGATGGAGAGCAGATGCCGGAGTAGCCAGGGAGCAGTCGGGATTGACAGGGAGACAGCTGACCCAGTCCTTTGTGCCAGGTTTTGACCTGGGCTGCCTCCAGCTGACCAACGAGAAAGTGGGTGATGTGGTGCTGCCCCCATGGGCCAGCTCTCCTGAGGACTTCATTCAGCAGCACCGCCAGGCTTTGGTGAGGAAGCAGCCACAGGAAACGGCGGGCAGCCAGGGTTTTAAAGGCCATGAGGGGTCAGCCATCCCTGCACTAACTGCCCCCTCCCAACTCCCAGGAGTCGGAGTATGTGTCTGCACACCTGCACGAGTGGATCGACCTCATCTTTGGATACAAGCAGCGGGGACCAGCTGCCGAGGAGGCCCTCAATGTCTTCTATTACTGCACCTATGAGGGTGGGCAGTGCGCTGGACTCCAGTCGGGGCCAGGACATCATCAGGAGGGGCAGATGCAGAGGGCACGCAGGAAGCCCTAACTGCTCTGCCTGCCTTCCCAGGGGCCGTAGACCTGGACCATGTGACAGATGAGCGGGAACGGAAGGCTCTAGAGGGCATTATCAGCAACTTTGGGCAGACTCCCTGTCAGCTGCTGAAGGTAAGGCCAGCTTAGAGGATAGTGACCAGGGATGCTCATGCCATGGTGCTCACCACTCACTTATCCACAGGAGCCACATCCAACTCGGCTTTCAGCTGAGGAAGCAGCCCTTCGCCTTGCACGCCTGGACACTAACTCACCTAGCATCTTCCAGCACTTGGACCAACTCAAGGCATTCTTCGCAGAGGTGAGAGGAAGACAGGACCTTAACTTGACATTCTGTGAAGTAGGTTTAACCCCACTGTCCTTACCACCCACTTGGGGCAGATGGGAATCCTAAATCAAGGTCACTGATTTCAAGGCACCTTAGAAAATTAGCTAAACATGGGAAGAGTATGGGGGCAGGAGGGGTGCCTTCTTCGTCAGGGCTAGGATAAAGTGTTGACTCACCTAACAAGCTCTGAAAGCCTTAGGGAGATCAGGAGGGAGGGGATCTGTCCTTGGACCCCTTCCCTTGCCTGCCTAGACAGGAAGATTGTTGTTGAATGTTGCCCCCAAGCCTGACTTTTTTTTAGGTTTCCCTCTCTTCCTGCCTTTGGGCTAGGGGACAAGCAGTAATTGGGTGGGAGGGCCAAGGTTGAGACTAAGCGTGATACTCTGGAAGGATCTTCCAGGTCTGCCCAGCTTCTCGCCCACTTTCTGAGATGCCCTCCTGAAGTCTCGTGCCTGTTTCTTGAAGGGACCTCTGCATCTGTGATACCTACTCCATGACCCCTGGGGGCTGAGGGTAAAGGACGAGATGATACTTCAGGGAGCAGAGAATGTAATCTGCTACTACTCAGGCATAGCTAGGCCTGCCCTTGCCCCTGTAGGTCATCAGTGATGGCGTACCCCTGGTGCTAGCCCTGGTCCCCCACCGGCAGCCCCACTCCTTCATCACCCAGGGCTCCCCAGACCTGTTGGTAAGTGCATTGTGCAGAGCCCTACCTCAGCTCCACTCCCCCTCTGCCTCTGCCCCAAACCCACCTCTGCCCCCTCCTGCCCGCAGGTGACCGTGAGTGCCAATGGGCTGCTGGGCACCCACAGCTGGTTGCCCTATGACCGCAACATAAGCAACTACTTCAGCTTCAGCAAAGACCCTGCCATGGGCAGCCACAAGTAGGACAGAGGGCTATGGGTGGGGTGGGCTACAAATTCCCTGCACCCTGAATTATTCCCCTACCTAATCAGAATGTAGGTCAGCTGCAAGGGAAAGGTCTGGCCGGGCTCCATGAGAGCCTGGGTCTCTTCCCTGTGGCCTGGCCTCACCTGCCATCCCCTCACTGGGTCAGGACACAGCGAATGCTGAGTGGCCCGTGGGCACCAGGCAGTGGTGTGAGTGGACAAGCACTGGCAGTGGCCCCCGATGGAAAGCTGCTATTCAGCGGTGGCCACTGGGATGGCAGCCTGAGAGTGACTGCACTGTCCCGTGGCAAGCTGTTGAGCCAGCTCAGCCGCCACCTTGGTATGAACAGCCTTGGAGCTGGGGATAATGAGGCACGGAGGTGTGGGGCTGGGTTCTGAGGCTGGCCAGGGTGGATGTGACTCCTGTTCTGCCTGTACCCTCCCCTTCCCATGCAGATGTAGTAACCTGCCTTGCACTGGACACCTGTGGCATCTACCTCATCTCAGGCTCCCGGGACACCACATGCATGGTGTGGCGGCTCCTGCATCAGGTATGCCTGGTGGACAGCTCTGCAAGGCCCCTGTAGCCCAGACCTATGGCCCATCCGTCCCTCACCGGCTTCCAGTCCTGCCCTCCTGTCCTTCCCTGCCCTTTGCTACCATGAGCAAGTCAGGGGCTTCGTGACTCTCCAGCTCTCTAGGCTTGGACAAAGCCTTCGTTTCCTGAGCCTCAGGAGCCAGTCCTAAGCCAACCCTGGTCTCCCACAGGGTGGTCTGTCAGTAGGGCTGGCACCAAAGCCTGTGCAGGTCCTGTATGGACATGGGGCTGCAGTGAGCTGTGTGGCCATCAGCACTGAACTTGACATGGCTGTGTCTGGATCTGAGGTGTGTGTATGCATGTGCCCTGGGGAGGGTGAGTTTGCTGAGCAATCCCCCTGGAGCCCAGAGACTCCTGCTCAGGACCCTAAGTTGCCTTCCTGCAGGATGGAACTGTGATCATACATACTGTACGCCGTGGCCAGTTTGTGGCAGCATTACAGCCTCCGGGTGCCACATTCTCTGGACCTGTTTCTTACCTGGCACTGGGGTCTGAAGGCCAGATTGTGGTACAGAGCTCAGCGTGGGAACGTCCTGGGGCCCAGGTATGGGGAAGGAGTGCCCAGCAACAATGGAGGGGCAGTTGGGATCCTGTCCTTGCTGACACTCCCTGCTTCCTCCAGGTCACCTACTCCTTGCACTTATATTCGGTCAATGGGAAGTTGCGGGCTTCACTGCCCCTGGCAGAGCAGCCTACAGCCCTGATGGTGACAGAGGACTTTGTGTTGCTGGGCACCGCCCAGTGTACCCTGCACATCCTTCAGTTAAACACGTAAGCCCCACCATTTATGGGTTCATGGCCCCTGAAGGTGATAGTCACTGGTGTAGGTAGGATAAAGGCGGGATCCCCCTAGGAACCCACACACCATACATGTTTGTGGGTACATACTTAAAGGTTTGTTACCTGTCCCCTAGTCTTCCTATGGGGAGATCTTGCCCTGGGCCTCCCATTAGCCACAGTTGTAGATTTCTTTGTGTATCAGAGTTTCATTTAGCCATCCTTAAAATGAGGGCAGAGAAGGGTATATGGGATAAGGGACATCTGCTGGTCGCAAAGCCCCCTTGCAGTTGCAGGTTGGTGTATATCCCTTCTCACTTCCAGACTGCTCCCGGCCGCGCCTCCCCTGACCATGAAGGTGGCTATCCGCAGCGTGGCCGTGACCAAGGAGCGCAGCCACGTACTAGTGGGCCTGGAGGACGGCAAGCTCATCGTGGTGGGCGCGGGGCAGCCCTCGGAGGTGAGGATATAGGCTGCAGTGTGTGGGGGCCCTCGAACGGGGCGAGGCGCGGCACGGCGGGCCCAGTTGACCCTGCCCAACCCTTACGCCCACCAGGTGCGCAGTAGCCAGTTCGCGCGGAAGCTGTGGCGGTCCTCGCGGCGCATCTCCCAAGTGTCCTCTGGAGAGACGGAATACAACCCTACCGAGGGGCGCTGAGCCCGGCCCTTCCGGCTGCTCGGGTCCCGCACCCAGCGGGCTTTGCCTGGGAGGCCCCGCCCAGAAGTCAGGGGGAACGCCCCGGGGTGGGCCGCTCAGGGGGTAGGCGGGGCCCACCCCTGCCCAGCTCAGGGATTGGCGGGAGATGTCACTCCCTCAGGGATTGGCGGGCGGAAGTCCCGCCCCTCGCCGGCTGAGGGGGCCACCCTGAGAGCCCGCGCTGGCTACCGCGGCCGCAGCGGCACTTTTTGCACACTCTGGGGCGGGGTTCCCCAGTTTCCAAGTCCCCGTTTCGTCAGAGCACGAGGGCCGCCTGTGGCCTTAATTCCTGACGGCGGCCCCGGTTCTCCCTTCTCGGCAATAAACCTGGCCTAGTTTTGTAGCTGCTCCGTCTCCGAGTATGCGTGTGCGCGCGGCGTCTCGGCCCGCCGTGGCCACCGTCCCAGGGTCGCAGTCTCAGTCTGGCCAGGCTCGCGATCCCCTGGCCCGTAACTTTCTCTGGGCCCACTTGCCCCGTAGCCGCCGCTGAACTAGGACCTCAGTTTCCCCGGCCGTGCAGCCCCTGCCCCACATCTCGCCCCGGCTCGTGGTTTCCCACATTCTCAGCCCTTCAACGGGTCACCTTCGCACGCCATTCGTGCACAGCCCCAACCCGGCCAGGCGCCCCACGTCAGCGAGTGTCTGCATTCCCTGGTTTGGCAGGGCGACACCAACCGAGGCCACGCCCCTCTAGCGCGACTCTTCCCCCTCATTGTCCTGCCCACTTATTGGGCCTGCCGGTGGCGCCACTGTGGTCTCAGGAGTGTCCTCTCCTGATCGGGAACTGGGTGGAATGCTACCTTGGTGGGTTCAGCAAGGGCATAGGGGATGTGGGCCCAGAAGTCCCCTAGTTGATCCAGAAATTCAGAGAGCTCCTGAAACCCAAGGAACAGGGCCATTCAGTCTTATTGGATCCTATAGGGTTGAATTTGCTGGGACCCACTTCCTGAGGTTTGGGGAAGAGACCCCCCTCGCCTAGACTGAGAGAGCTTGCCCCAGAAGGAATGGAGGAGACAGAGCTGGTCCCCGCTCGCCAGAGGGGTCAGGTACAGCTCAGGATGGAAGACAGGTTGGGGAGTTGGGATCTCCATCCTGAGCTGTACCTGACTCCTCTGGCAAGCTGGGACCAGCTCTGTCTCCTCCACCCCATCTGACACAGGAGGAAACTGCTCCAGCCCTTGAGTGAGTCAGGTTGGAGTGAGCAAAGGGGGATGGACTACCCTAAGGGACTACCAACCTCAGGCCTGGAGAATTTCCCATATTCCTCCTGTACACAGCCCTTTCTGGACTGAGAGAAGCAGCTCCCAGCTCCCCTGACTCAGTGCTGCCCAAAACTCTCCAACTTTTTCTCCAAGAAATAGTCCCAGGGAGGGTAACCCACTGACAGCCATGCTTCAACAACTCTAGCCACAGCAAAGGCCTGGCCTATGTGGGTAAGCATCCCTTGATCCAGATAATGGGTATTGGGCAGGCTGAGAGTGGGTAGGTCACACCCAAGTCCAGTCACAGGTTCTGGAGTCTCTGCCTGGGGTGCCCTGACTGCACCAGATCGGGACAAGTCGCTTCCAGGCAGAAGAAAGCAACAATGTTTAACTTCCAGTTCAGCTTTATTTTGCAAAAATTTACAAGACCTCCTTTGCATAGAAATGCTTGTAGGGACCACATGAATCAATGTGCCCTCACGGTCCAGACTTGGTGGCAGAGACAGGACATAAATGCCATGGTAGACAGTGCCATGGTCCCTCTTCCTGTGCCCTGGATAATTGGATAAAAAATCAGATTTAGTGCCATGGTAGACAGAGGTGCAAATGGACCCAAAAAAGGAAGAGCCCAAGGAAGGCTTTCCAGAGTAGAAAAGTCTTGTCAATATGTCAGATGGAGAAGGGAGATCGGCAAGAGCAGAAGTCTGGAAGGTTATGAAAAGAGGGTGCATCTAGGAAGGACAAGGTGTCCAGAGTGGTAAGCACAGGGAAAGCTGTAGAAGAGGATGGAAAAATAGGCCAGACAGTTCCTGATGCCATGGTATAAGCTTTTGACTCTACATAGCAGAGACTATTGGCTTCAAACCTTTTTGACAACAAAGTTTAGGTGAGGCTACCCAGGGACCCTAGCCTTGGTTCCTTGCTCTTAACCTGATCTATCTTTTCTTCCATAGATAACCTCCTTGAGGAGGCAGGAGAGAGACAGGGAAGGAGTATGGTTAGGGGCAGGGGGAGCCCTGGCCTCCAATACCTCCATCACTTGCCTCCTGGAGCCTCCAGAGGTCTCAGGCAGCATCATCCCTCCTGAGGGGCATCTACTGTACCCTCCTGGCCTCTGTGGTCCTCGGTCTGCTCGCCTACATGGCCTTCAAGTGGTAGGTGGTCTGGGCACTGCCTGTGGTACCCCCTTCCCTTTCTGGACTCCAACCAATTCTGTCTTGAAAACAGGAGTAGGTTGGCAGATCCCTTGCTCCCCACAGCTGGCGCTCACATAAGCAAAGACAGCAGCTGGCCAAAGCTTGAACTGCAGAGATGGGAGGACTCAACAACGACCAGATGCTTGGGGATAGCAGTGTCTTCCTGGACTCTCCTAGCAGTCTGGAGCCCTGTGCCTCCAGTCAGGGTGAGCCCCCTTCCCAGTCATTCGTACTAGAAATGCCTCACCACCTAGCCCTTGGTGATCCTCATGTCTCCTGCCCGAGGACCACAGCCTGAGCTTGGCTGCCTCGGTGGCACCAGGATAAAGTGGAGCGGCTGAGGAGTGTCAGATGAACCTGACAAGGGCTGGCGGGGACTGGCAGGACATCTGGGCTACTGGGCTGAGGCTGTAGAGACCATGGCCCAGGGCCAGATGCAAGCCTACACTCTGCTGAGGGACTGGGCTATCCAAGAAGGCAGTGGTGCCACCCTCAAGGTGCTAAAGAATGCCCTGGTTGCCAAGGGCCGTGAAGATGTGGTCCAGGTCCTGGGCCCCCCAGCTGAGGGCTGCTCTGTGGTGTGAGTGCTGCCCCCGTAGCCTACCCTGGTGTTCCCCTACCTCTGTCTCATATACCTTCCCCTTCCTGGGCTTCCTGGGGTTGCTGGCCTCAGCCTGCTCTGTTCTGGGGGAAGAACACCGAAGATCCAGCCATCATTCATTTCCTCTCACCCACCCATCCCCTCCAGAAGAGGGCAGTGAGGAGTGGTCCTACCCTTTGGATCTCTACTCCACCTCCCCTTATTAAGCCTCAACTGGATTTGCTACTTTCGTATCCCATATTAAAGGTGTTTTGGCTCTATCTGGCTCCTTGGGCCTGAGAGACAGTTGCGTGGGTGGCTATGAGGCAGGGGTCCAGAAAAGGGCCGGGGGTCCCTAGGTTGTGGGAGGGCCCTCTCCAAGCAGCACCTGGGATGGCAGGCAGTGTGCTCCTATAGAAGATGCATGGGCTCTGGAGGCACAGATCAGAGTTCGTATCTTGAGTCTACCATTTGCTGGCTGTATCATGTTTGGAAGGTATTTTACCTTGGTTATTTTATCAGCTTCCTTAGCTGGAGAACAGTAAGTTTAAGTGAAACATTCAGTAGTTTCCCCCACATCTAAGACTCCCAGGTTGGTGCTGAGGGACCCTGGGTTTGACATCATTTTCCTGACTTGTTTCTGTGAGCACCATCAAGGGGAGGCTGGAGGCTTGTTCCTCTAAACAGGAGGGAAGAAGCAGGCTGATCCTGGGCAGTTAATTACCAAGGGCCTCAGGTCACCTCTAGATGAGAAAAAAAGAAAAGGCTTGCCTTACAAGGAGTTCCAAATGTGCTTCCACATCTGCTCATGTGGTTTCTACACACACCAAGGAAAGGTGGGTGTCCTGAGCAGCTCAGGACAGGGCAGGTGCAGCCAAGTTACCTGCACTCCATGCATATATACCCACCCCAAAGGGAGAGTCAGGTAGGATGGCACAATAAGTGACTTTTGAAGAAGGTGCTATAAAAGACAAGCCCTGCCTAGGAAGGAACAATGGCTACTATCCTGGCAGCTACCAGCATAAGGTGGCTTCAGAGGCACAGCCATCCAAACTCACTCTGAAGACATGGGTTCCAGTCATGATCTAGTGGGGCCCAAGGTAGATCCTGTCCCTTTGCTGAAATGAGATGCAACTGGGATTGGCCACTCTGTGAGTACCAAGCTCATCAGACTGCTGTTACTGCTACCCTCAGTAGTTGACCAGGCCTGCTTAACACTCTAAATCTTTCCCTTAAACGAAGGAAAAGCAGGAAGTTTATAGTCACCTTCCTCCTCAGATGACCTTAGAGCAGTAACCCTGAAGGATCAGGAAAGAAAGCAGGGAAGATATGCACCAGTTGCTGGAGACATCAAAACCTAGAGCCTTGGGTCAAAACCATGCATTGGATTTATTTGCAAGCAGCAGCACATATGGCTGCACCCCTGCACTGCAACCCACTGAAAAGAGAAATGATCCCTTTCGACGAGCTGAAGCATATTAACTAAAATATTCTCTATAACAGACATAACTGTAAGACATTGAGAGGGTTGAGCAAATTATGATCTGTGCATGTGATATAATAATGTGCTTTAGGCTGGGCGCGGTGGCTCATGCCTGTAATCCCAGCACTTTGGGAGGCCGAGGTGAGTGGATCACCTGAGATCAGGAGTTTGAGACCAGCCTGACCAACATGGGGAAACCCGGTCTCTACTAAAAATACAAAATTAGCCAGGCATGGTGGTGCATGCCTGTAATCCCAGCTACTCGGGAGGCTGAGGAAGGAGAATTGCTTGAACCCGGGAGGCAGAGGTTGCAGTGAGCCGAGATCACGCCACTGCACTCCAGTGCAGGGGCAACAAGAGTGAAACTCCATCTCAGAAAAAAAAAATAATATGCTTTAAACAGTTTTCAAGCCTGCAGTATGAGAAACAATTCTGGATATTTGCTAAATAGCATGTCTAAGTTTAAAATAAGAATTCTGCCCCTCTTTTAACAATTCCCTTAATACTAGGATATTAGAAGAGTTACTGAACCTCTCTGACACTTAGTTGCCTCATCATAGTGCCAATTCCTGTGCCTCAGGACTGTGAGCACAACCTGAGCTCTAAGTGCTCAGCACAGTGCCTAGTGGGCAGTGAGTGCTCTAATTGCTACTCACCCTGCCAAAGATTTGGCAGGCCACAACCTGACCTCAACTCCTCCACAAGAACACTGCTGCAGTGGGCAGGATAACCATGGTGAGAAACAGGTGGCACCAACCTCTTTGCAAAAATGGGCCCCAGTATGGCCTGAAGCCCTCAGCCTTCCTTACTGCCTAGATAACTAATCTAACAAGTGAGGGAGAGGTCTCCCACCAAGCCCTGCCATCTCAGAAATGTTCACTA